CGACTCCAGCCCTTCTGCTGCCTTTGGCACTCAAGCATATGGTGCTATCACCTTACTTTGAAGTGTCCCACAAATTGTGCTTTGTTTAATGCCAGACGCTGGGATTTTCTTATCTGATGATGAGGGAACCAAAATGGAGTCAAGTGAGCAGACCCACCAGCAAGTTCTCACTGGGGCTTTCTCTTAGAAAGGGAGACAGAGCTCCGACAGGAAGTCGCTGAGCTGGCCACTGGGCCCAGGGGAGCTTCCTTGGGTCACTTGCAGGGCTTGGAGTTACCTGGCACTCAGCTCAGCATTATGCCCTGTGCTAGATAAGTCACGGCAGCTCTTCAGGACACACACAGGGCAGCCTGACCTCAACGCAGCCGGGCTGACGCCGGTCGAGGGTAATGCACACCAAGCCTCCTGGGGCTGATGACAGGCTGTGAGCCAAAGTGCACTTGCCCGTTGTCCCTGCAACAGTCCCTGTATCAGGTGAACCATCCCTAACTCAAGAGTCCCAAATCCCAAATGCTGCAAAATCTGTGACTTTTTGAGTGCTGACATGATGTGTAACAAATTCAGATTTTGAAGAATTTCAAATTTTGGATTTCAGATTATGGGTTAGGGATGTTCAACTTGCAAAGTTTCTGAGTTCACTCATTTGGACTCTATGTCGCATTCATGATTTGCATCTTTTTGGATGGGCCTGTCTTTATACTTTCAACTTTCCCTGTTCTTAAAGTTTTAGTGTCTCTCCTGAGAGCAGGGGTGTCATCTCCCTCCCGTGACACCCCTGGAGTTTTGAGGGCTCCCTGACCCAACTGTGCTCACCTGGTCTGCTGGGCATTTCCAGATGCCTGCCCATCAGGAGGCCTTGTGTGGCAGTGCCCTACTGTCCTGTGTACCGATCTCCTTTCCTTTGGTTACCATTCTTCCCTGGCCCTTTTTGAATTCAGCCAGGATGTCGGTTTAATTGTTCTTCTTTCATTTCTGCCAGCACGGAAATCGTGTGCTCAGGTATTATTGTTTTAGAGATCTCTTTGACCTTAAGTTTTATTTTACTGTATTTCTTTTTCACTTTTGGGGGGATGTGTTCAGTTCTATGAAATCATATCACACATGTAGGCTCCTGTGACCACGACAGCCACCGAGATTCAGAAGAGGCCCCTCACTGAAATGAACGCCCCACACGGCCCCTTTCCAGGCCCACCTCACCTATCACCTGGCAGCCAGCCACCGGCCTGGTGGCCCTCTGTAGCTTCATCGTACTTGAAGGCTCCCAGTGTGGCCTTTTCAGACTGGCTCCCCACCAAGCCCTGGAGGACTATCTACGTGTCCCATGTAGGATGTCACCCCAGGGATGTCCTGGCTCCCTCACCCACCACTGAAGAGCGTCACGGACACTGTGCACACATGTGCACGAGCGTTGGTTCTCATTTCTTTGGGATTAGTGTTCTGGAGGGCACCTGGTGGTGTCTATTGTAAGCATCATATTTTCTTTTTCTTTTTATTTTTTTTAGTTACTGATGGACTTTATTTTATTCATTTATTGATATGCAGTGCTGAGAATCAAACCCAGTTCCTCACACATGCAAGGCAAGGGCTCTACCACTGAGCCACAGCCCAGCCCCAAAGCATCAACTTGTTATTAAAAAAAAAAAAAAAAACTTCATACCAAGCAACTTTTTATGAAACGAACCATTTTTCCAAGTAGCTGTCACATCTTACACCCCACCCCAGGGTGTGAGTGACCCCCTTTGTCCGTATCCTTGGTCTCATTTTAGCCATTCCAGCAGGCGTGAAGGGCCACCTCCTGGTGGCTTTAATTCGCATCTCCCTGGTGGATGTGGAACATCTTTCTCTGTGCTTATTTGCCATCTGCATATCTCCTTTGATGGAGTGTCTAATCAAATTCTTTTCCATTTTCTAACTGATTTTGTTGTTGTTGTTTGCTGTTGAATTTAGAGAGCTCTTTATATATTCTGGATGCAAATCCTTTGTCAGACATGTGATTTGCAAGTACTTTCTGCCAGTTAGCTACTTTTCTTTTCATCTTCTTAACAGGCTCTTTGGCAGAGCAGAGCCTTCCGTTTTGAAGAGGGAACTCTTCAGAGTTTTGTTTCTGAATCATGCAGAGTTATTAATGGAGGCGAAAAGTTCCCTGCAAATAACACCAGGAGCTCCAGCTCTCCCATGGTCCAGATATTGTTCTGTCCTTTCAGACCCTCGGCTCTCAGCCTGCCTTGCTCACCTTCCTCCAGGGGCCCTGCTCCCCCATCCTGACATGCACACTTCAGACGTCCCTGCACTGCACCTGGTCTCCCCCTGTGTGGAAAGGCTCTGGAGGAGCGGGCTGGTTGCCGGGTGCTGCAGGTCCTTAGGTGCCATTTCCTGGGCAGAACTGCCACCCCTCTCCCATCTTTCCTTTCTCCACGGTGCTCGGTAGCTTCCTACAGAGGATGTGCTCCTCACGGTGCCACGGGCCCGATGGTGCTTGTGTGTGTCCTGGGCCCTGTGCAGACACCGTCTTCACAGTGCTTCCTCCCTCGCTGGTCTTCTGGGATGCCCGTGGGGGGTGCGCTGGGTTCCTTGGTACCCTTAACACCTTCCATGTGCCTCTCACTTGGCTCCAACACCGCGCACACCCACCTGCCCCGGTTTGAGTGTGGACACTGCCTTCCCAAGGCCCAGGTGTTAAAGGCTTGATGCCAGGGCAGTGCTATTGGAGGTGGTGGGGACTAGTAGGGAGTCCTGAAGTCACAGGGGTGTGCCCTTAAGGGAACTATGGCCCTCTCTTCCTCTTCACCTCAGCTGCTGGGCTGTGGTGTGTGGTTCTCCTCGGCCACACACTCTGGCCAAGGTGTGCTGCCTCACCATGAACTGCAAGCTCCAAAACCAAATGGGCCCTCCCTATTTGGAAGTTAAGTTGCCTCAGTTGTTTCATTATAGTGACAGGGGGAAAATGACACATCCATCCAGTCCCTCATGTCTCAAGGGTACCCTGGGTGGTTCTTTCGTACGCCTGACAGCTTCTGACCATCTCATCCCCAGCCCCCCATTTTGTGATTTCGTCATTTTGTTTTGATTCACAAGATCACACCATGTCTGAGCCTCTGGAATGTAACCTGTAATGCAGTCTTGCTGCTGCTTCTCTGGACTGCAGCTCAGGGGCCTGGTCCACGTGGGGTCCTGACCAAGAGATGTCCTCCAGACAGGACCCTGCAGACCCGCCTGTGCCATGCCCTCAGGCCTTGCCTTTCCTCTGCCTCCCATTCCTCTCTCTGATCGGGGATGGAGGGCTGTTGGGGAGACCCTGGTGACGGTGCTTTCTCCTGCGGGCCAGCCAGGCACTTTGAGAGCGAATTTTTCCACATTAAACTGCAGGTAACGGAAAGTTCTTTGGCTCATCCAACACACTGCCCACTGGGGCAAACCTGCCCAATTTCTGGGTCCCCTCCTCTGCAGTCAAATGGACGTGGCACCCTGGGAATGCTCGCATCCACCTGGCAGGGATGGATGGGGGAGGGACACACACTCGGGGCCCAGCAACTTGGTGCGGAGAGCACCCGCCCCCCACCCCCATCCCAATCCTGGACATGCATTGCCATCCGGGCTCTGCTGAGCTGCCAAATGGGGCACTTGGTGAGCGGCCCTAGGTCTCCCTGCTCTGATGGAAGCTGCCCTGGCAGCCCAGCCCACCTCTTTAAGCCATGCTGCAGAAGATCCACCATCAGGCTGTCACAGAAACGTCTCCAGCAGTGGTCACTGGTGCCTCCGAGGCCCCAGACCAGGCCCCTTTCCATCTTTGCCCCAACAGGATCCCGGGGCTCACAGGTCCTCCCCAGCTCCTGTACTGCAGCCTCGGGAGACCACTCCAACCCGAGCCGCTCCTCTACATCCCAGGTGGGGGCCCTGGGAGCCCTGCTCATGCCCTTTACTTCTAGGTCACACAGTCCCTAGAAGACTCGGGTCCGACCAGGGCTTTGTTAAGCACCCATGGTGGGGGCAGACCTCCCCCTGCAGGATGGACACTCACCTGGGCATCCCTGGCCACACCCCCCGGTCCTTGCTCTAGGACATTAACCCTGAGCTCACTGCCCTCTTTGCCACCTCCCCCTCACTTCCCTTCACAGGTTCGTGTCTCCCGCCATCACTCAGGGTCAATGTGTGGCCTGCTGGGGACACATCATGGAGCCCAGCCTAGGAGGTGGATGATGTCAGCCTGAACATGTCATGTCATCACCTGGATGGGCTCTTCCTGGAAAACTGATCCTCCTTGGTCCCAGTTTAGGCCAAGACCCAGGCTCTCTCCAATGGGTCCCTGGTCAGCCCTGCTGCACACCTGGGGCACCAGCCCCAAGTCTGGGAGCACGGCTGCAGCCACCTGGTGCTCCTCCCACACACGAGGCCAGGCAGGCACCAGCAGTCCTGCCACCTGACTCTCTGCCCCACCCACTATCCCAGCCCTGCTCCCGCCCAGCTTCTCAGTATCTGGCCGGTGGGGGTGGACAGCCCAGGGGCCCCCCACTGTGCCTTACCGGAGCCCTGCAGCTCAGATACAAAGCAGACCTGGGGGGAGCCACTCTCCCCAACTTCCTTCTTCCACAAGCATCAGGCTGGAGGCCCAAGCCACCAAGGCCCCACGGCTAGGCCTGGCTCACACCTGTCCTCTCCTGCTCTCTCCCAAAAGCCACTCAATCTGTGGTGGCAGACTGTGCCCTGGCTGCTAGACACAGGAGAGGGTGTGGCCCAGAGAGGGGGTTCTTGGCCAAGGGGGCTGAAGGGTGAGGAGGTCCTGAAAAGGGATGTGCTTGGACTCACTGCCAAGTGAGAGTGCTTGGACTGAGAATGGAGGCACAGCCACCAGGTCCAGGGCAGGAACAGGTCCCCTTGCTGGCCCCCACCACTACCAGCAGCAGCAGAGGACTGCCCTCTCTGTTGGGATTTGTGCTTATATATGAGAAATACTTTTTGTAATGAAAATCAACAGGTACAAAATAGCACGCCACCCCATGCAGTACCAATTAGCATTCATGTCTGCGTATTTTTATTTATGTATTTATGACATTGATATAAAACTGAAGAGAAATAACTCCAGGCTCATGGACATGGCTCCCCTGAACCAGAACCAAGGAGTCGAGCCCGGGCCCTCTGAGCCCGTGCAGCTGCCAAGTCCCCACTCCCCAGGGCTCCGAAGCCCCGGGCTGAGCGTCTTTTCCCCACCTCCCACTGGTGCAGGCCTGCAGAGGTGACCTGCAGCCAATTGCAGCCACTGGCCCAGTGGGCTCAAGTGGGAGCTGGCAGTGGGAGGTCAGACTCACTGCCACTGTCCTGAGTAGCCCCGGCCTGGCCCAGCAGGTTGGTGCTGAGGCCAGACTGGCAGGTTGCCACACCCACCCAAGGCCAGGGACGGAAAGGCACGTGGGGAGATGCCCCACACCTTCTCCAGGCTTCCTGCAGTCCTTGTCCTCTCCCTGGCCTGGTGCCAAAGGGGTCCCTGGGCCAGTCCTACAGCTCTTCCTCCACCTTTAGGATCATCCCTGAGAAGACCTCTGGGCCTGGGTGGGCACCCTGGGGACTGTCCTGGGGGCCTCTGGTGGGTCCACAGGCCCCTCCACCAGCAGGGGTACCTTCTAGGATGGAGGGTGAGCCCTCCTGGGCTGGGCGCACTGCCACCAGCCGCTCCAGGGTCCGGCTGAGGGCCTCGACACCATCAGCCAGCCGCTGGCTCTGCTCCGCCAGCCGCTGCAGCAGCAGGTTCTGCTGGGCCATCAGCGCACCCTGCTGCTGCGACCAGGAGGCCAGCAGGGCACCCTGCCGCAGGTGGGAGTCCAGCAGCTGCTGCTCAAACATGGAAGCCTCAGATGCTGTGGACAGGGTCCTCCCGGAGGGCAGGGGCAGCGTGGATGCTGGTGCTGAGGAAGGTGGGGAGGGCCCAAAGGAACCCATGCCCGCGGTCCCTGGGGGCACAGATGCCAGGGAGGCAGGCAGGGAGGGTGAGGAGGTGGATGCACGGAGAGCTCCTCGGAAGTCCAGGGGGTCAGGTTCAGGTGGACTGGGCCCTTCCGGGGGGGTCCTCAGGGGTCGCCACAGGCAGCTGGCAGTTTCATCCTCGTCTTCCTCGTCGGCTAACAGAGGGAGACAGGGGAGTGTCAGTCTGGGCTGGCCAGCAGTGGGCAGTACCAGGCACAACAGGGGAGCAGGTGGGAGGCAGCAGACACACAAGGCCCCCTGCCTGCAGCCGTTCAGGGCCAGTCCCCTGGCAGCTAGCACGCGCCGTTTCGAGATGCAGAAGGCCAGGTGCGCGAGGCAAAGGCACCTGCTGCAGCAGATGGGCGGGGGGTGGCCGCCCCCCCGCCCCTCCCATCTGCCCACCCAGGGGTCCCTCTATCTACTGGCACCCTGGCCATTCCTCTGTCTGTCTCTCCACAGCCATCCTCCTGCCCACCCACCTGCTCACCAGCCACTCAGCCCTCACTTACCCTGTCTGTCATCCACTTTTTGTCACTTTTTGTCACCCATCCATCCGTCCCTCCCACTGAGCTTTCTATCCGGCCCTGCCCCCCCCC